ACCGCGCAGGCCAGGGCCGTGTCCTTGCAGGGACGACGTGTGACCCGGCCTTCTGGAACCTGCAGAAGGCTGGGCTGGTGGCCAGCCTGCCCCGGGAGCTGCTGCAGGCCTATGGCGAGGACTACGTGGAGGAGATCAACCGCCAGTTCCTCCAGTTCATGAAGGTGGCGGTGGAGGACCTCAGCGCAGTGGTGAACAGCATCACAGATGGGCTCCTGGCTGCCAACCCAGCCGTGCGCTACTACCCAGGGCAGGGCCTTGGGCTCATGTATTTCATACACCGCTACCTGCCCTATTTTGTCCGAGACTTGTTCTTGAAAGGATTCTTCATCAACCCCAAGCTGCCTCGAGCGCTGCGGCAAGAGCACCACAACGACGTGAAGAAGGCCTGACCTCAGCCCGCATGCAGTGGCGGGGCAGGAGCAAGCCTTCTGCTGGGATTTGCAGGCACACCAGCCCCCAAGCACGTGCACAGACGCTGGCATCGCCCCTCCTGCACCACAGGGGAACAATCAGCACTAGACATTAAAAACCAAATTGCTTTCCAAAATCAGGCAGATCTATTTTCTATTGTGCGAGAATCAACGTTTTCTAGAGACCTTGTTTTTTGTATTTTTTTGTAACCGTGCATCCTCCAAGGGGGCCACCCCTACAGCTCCGCACCACAGGCTGGGATGTACCTCGGGCGGCTCTCAGCTACCCAGCATCTTCCTCACTGCTGTCGGAGCTGTGAGCATTTGACTCTGTCACCTCTCGGCTGGGTCAGGCCTGGGGCCCTGTGCCAGCCCCTGCCTCCCTCCTGTTCGTTACACACTCCACGTGCTCCAGGCAAGCGCAGGAGCCAAGACCGGGCTGCGGAGCTCTTCACGAGATGAACTACATGATTGTTGCTTTTTAAATAAATCTGTTCTTGATACGCCACTAGGCTCTGGCAGTTTCCTTCCGCAGTTGCAGGGCTGCAATGCTTGGTCAGGGATGCCCTGCTGGCTGGCAGAGCTGAGCTGGGTCACAGCTGACACTGCACCAAGCACCGTGGCAGGAGTCTGGGATCACCCTGCCAGGAAAAGCTTGCACCCGCTCCCCCTTACTCCCCACCCCTACCCCCAAGGCTTCCTTTTGCTTTGCTCTGACTCCATGACCTGGCTGGGGCAAGGACGGTGCCACACATGGACAGCCCCAGGCAGGAAGCCCAGGTGCTGGGGGACAAGCTTAGCAAAGGCAGAGGATGTGCCACACCACTCCCTGACTGCACGGCTCACCCCCATACAGCTGCCCAAGCAGCAAGGGCTATGTCTCCTGGGCACCCACCAGCTCAGCACCCAGCTGCACCCACAGACCAGGCATCACACACAGCTTGGGCAGGAGTGCAAAGGCTCCAAGGGCCCCAACGGGCAGCACGATCCCCCTGCCTGTGAGAGAAGTCACGCAGGAGCCACACCAAGGTACGAGGCCCCATGGCTGACACAGGCTCCTCTTGGGGATGTGGGAGCAGGCACCAGAGTAAGCAGGGAGAGCACAGTGCAGTAGGCAGATATTTATTGGTGTAGAGAGGAGGGGATCGCAGGATAACAAACACTGCAGAGGCAACCACAGCACAAGCTGGGACGGAGCCGCTCTCCATCGATCCCTCCCAGCAGCAGCACCAAGCAAGTGTTTCCCACCAGCGAGGCTTCTCCGCTGCCACACCACCACAGGGCAGCGCCCAGGCCTCGAGTGCAAGCGGGAACAAACCGGGACATGGAATAGCAAGGAACCGGGCTGCCAGACCATGCCCAGGGCTTGGCTCCCACCCCTTGACCACAGACAGGCAGGGTCTGGGACATCTCCGCACTCATCGAGGTGAGCAAATGGAGCCAGAGCCAAGGGCTGCTCTGCCAAGGGCCAGTTGTGCCCATACAGCCCCGTGGCAGTGCCAGCCCTGACGCCCTGCACAGGGGAGGAGGCTGTGCCAGCCTGGATGATACCCTGGGGTGGTGCAGGTCCAGCATCATCTGCAGAGCCAAAAGGAGCCCTGGCTCTTGCATGATTGTGACTGTGAACTCCAAGGCGTAGGGAGGAAGGAGCTCAGCCAACTCACAGAGCCCTTTCAAGCTGCAGGGCAGGAGGGAGACCGGGCAAGAGCTGCTTCCGAGGACACGGCGAGGCTGCGCTTGTGCAAATGCTGCTGGAGTAGGGAGGAGCGTGCGCAGCAAGCGCTCTGGCTCTGCCCTCGCATTCCCACAGGCTCCGTCCCAGTCCTGGCTCTGTCTCTCCCAGGTCAGGGTTAGCTACAGGGGGATGCAGGGACTGCACAGCAGCACAGGCTACGCTACAAATCACACTCGGACTAAATCTCACAGGAACAACACAGACTAGGAGACGTGCAGAGCACTGACAGAGGACCCCCGGCCACAGCAGACCTGACACATTCCTCTGCAGCGGTGGGAACCCCTTGGAGGTGGCAACCCCCCGGTACTTGCTCTATGAGCATAAGCGCATACAGCAATTAGTACAGTAACACGGGGACTATTAGATACACAACAGGTGGTGCCCCTCCTGCTACACAGGGCCAAGCCTGTGCCACTGGTCTCTCTGGGCCCCTCACAGCACACAACTCAAAACTTCAGCTTGTGAATAATTTAACTAGCAACTGTACAGTTTCCTCATCTGAGCCAGTTCCACAGATGTGACATCCCTGGAGTCTGGGCAAGGGATAACTCTGAGTTAGAGAGGGGTCCCTCCAGACTCCAGGGGCAGGAGGGGTGGACAGGAGCGGAGCAGGGTTAGAAGATGGGAATGTAGTTGTCAATCTTGGTCCTGTGCCGCTGGGCGATGCACTCTGCGATCCACACAATGTTGCGGCACTCCTGCTCCTTCAGCTTCACGAAGGCGTAGAAGACTCCAAAGTGGAATTGGTTGAGGAAGGCCAGCTTGTTCAGCTTCACCTGGGGAAAGCCCAGAGGAGGACACATCACTTGTCCACCTCAGATGGGAGGAGCTGGTCAAGGCAAGTGTGGAGCAGCTTGGGAGGTCCCATGACCTCCCCAGCAGGCTGGGGGGCTAGCACAGGCATCCTGCTCTGTACCTCAGGGCAGCTCTAACCTACAGCACATGCCTCAGGACAGGCTCCAACATTTGAAAATCCTCCTTTCCCACATAATTACACTGTGGTTTTGCTATCAATGGACCAAATATCCACCAGCAGCACCAAAGTTGCCTCCCACACTGCTCTAAATCTGTCTGGGTGAGAACATGGACCGAGCAGCATGCTGGGCCCCCGTTTCCTGGCTGGAGCAGAGGGCTAGCATCCTTCTCCTTCCCCCAAACTCTGTTCATCCACAACATTGCTGAACGGGCAGCAGACAAGCTGTCTGCTACCCTGAGCTTTGCACAGGTAGGCACACAGAATCAAATATTTAAGTTGGAAAAGACCTTTAAGATCATCGAGTCCAACCGTACACCTAAAGCTGCCAAGTCCACCACTAAACCATGTCCCTATAAACATATTTAATATCCCCTATGTGACAAGGACTTTAATAACACTGCACCTAAGGACTTAAGAAAAGCAGGGATTTTAGTGCTCAGCAGTCACTAAGAACATTCAAAAATACATCTGCTTTGCCCAGTGTTCTGTGCTGCGTATTTTAGGACCTCCATCATGTCTGATTTCCCTCTTAGAGAAGGCCGCTTCAGCTGCTGCGCTTTAGCAAGTCAAACAGCTGATGTGAAACAGCCCTCTGGTTTTTGGATTATGGACTCGCAGGCTGAGAAGTGTCTTGGGCCTCACTCACCTCATGCTCAAAGAACCTGTCTTCAAGGGTCTTGTCTCCAGGGTTGCTGCCAGCCCCTTCAAATAGCAGCTTGTACTCCTGCAAGAAGACATTACAAGAGGATATACCCAAACCCCAAAGCCCTCCAAGCTCAGCAGCGTTCCTGGGCCCTGTACATCAAATGGACACCTCAGCCACCATGCCAGGTCAGCAAGAGGACACAGAAGCCAAGAGTCTGCCCTGTGCGCACGTGAGCATTGGCAAGGGGGTGCTGCTGAGACTGCGGCTGAAGGCAATCCCCTGTAAGACAGAGAAAGTCTTTGTCTCATCTGTGAGCTTGTCCTACCCCTTCTCTGAAGTGTGCAGTGCTCAAAGCCATATCATCACTTTGAGCCTGCAGGGAGGATGCACCAGGTACAGACCCCTCCATGTACAAACTGGAGCATTTGAACCAGGCCCCTGTGCCCACAAACACTGGCACATGCCCTGGCTGCTCCAGCAAGGAGACACTGAACTCCCTGATGCCAAACAGGCCCCCAGCCACACACAAGAGCAGCTTAAGGAACCCAGACACAACCAAGCATGTCCTCCAAGGTCAGCGTCTCCCCTGCGACTGAACCAGAGCTCAGAGCAACCCACGAGGGCTGGAGATGTGGCACACCACTTCTTGCTGAAGATGGGTTTCCACCCCCAACCAGCAAGAGAGAGACTGTCACTGCTGCCACACCGATACCTCAAGGGTTTGGTGGTGAGCGCAGACCCCACACCCTGGGATGGGGCGCACAGGGCACGCCTGGTGTCCCTATCGCCACTGCTACGGCAGCCACGACCAACAGGCCAATGGCATGCCAGGCAAACCAACTCCATCCTGGCCAAGCAGAGCACAGGACCAACAGTAACAGCATCCCTCCCCACGCTGTCAATCCACAAGTTCCCCCAGATCCCTGAGAAGCTCTGATCCAGAGCAGCTCCTTGCACGAGTCCCCACAGCCCTCACCCCAAAGCACTCACAGGGTAGTAGTCAGCAACGTTTTTGACTTGTTCGTAGTCATCTGCTCTGGCCAGCTGAGCCAGGCCCTCAGGATAGAGCTTGCCACAGTGCGGGAACAGCTTTGCTCGGTCCTCCTTGGACAGCTCAGTACCAAATGAGTTAATGGTGATAATGAAGGCCCTCCGGTCAGCTTCAAACTGCGGGAAAAGAGTGGTTCACCTTGGGATGCAGCACCTTTGCTAGAGGCCAGCAGATACTGACGCTGCTCTGAACAGAGCCACATCAAAGGGCAGCATAAGCAAGCTGCCTGGGAGACATACATCTATCTGGTGCTCAGCCAGGGCAGGCTACGTGTGCAGACTCCCAGTATGCCCAGTAGCTGATGCTTGGGGAGCAGTCAAGTGAGGAAATTCCCACCCCAGACACAAGCCAAATCACTGAGCAAACCTGGCCAGGTCAAGGAGTCTCTCTCACCTACTGCCCAAGCCCTCCACATCACACAGCTAGCCTTGGCATGGGCCCTGCACTGAACAGCTCTGGTTGTTCTCTGTGTGAGAGGATGAAGATGGAGCCATGAAGACAACAGATGCGTCAGCACCTGGCAAGATCAGGACTGGGGAACCGAACATGTCTGAAGTCATGTGCAGGCAGTGTTTCCTAGGTCTCCCAGTGAGCAGGCAGAGTGTGCATGGGGATGCTGAAGGATATCTTTAGCATCCTTAATGCTGGCAGGCAAGCTGGGCCTGAGCAGAGCGTGATGAATACCACAGCAATACCATCTAGCTGCAGGGGTTTCCAGACCTACCTCCAGGATCGGGCACATGGCATCTGCTGTTGTACCTCCCAGCGTTTTGCAGAACTTGTAGAAGGACTCCAGATAAGCCTGGAAGAGAGAGAGGGCAGATGAGCTCTTTTCTACCCAGCTTCATCTACTGCCTCTAGGGCCATTCAGCAGGGGACAAACAGCAAGCAGAGATGCTCCCAGACGCTTTATAACACAGCACAGGCTCTCTCACCCCACGTGAACTTGGATGCCAAGCCCATACGAGGATCAGTGCTTCCCCCAGGAGCTGGAGAGATGAAGGGTTGTGGTTGGATTTGTTCAAATGACTGCATGAGTTTACTGCAGGCAAGATCCCCAGGCAGCAAGGTCAAAGCCTATTTTGCTCCTTTGCTAACTCCAAAGCATTTACTGAAGTCTCACATGGTTTCCTGACCCTGCTCTGGCCTCCACAAACATGCCAAGCCACACAGCTATAGCTGCAAGGCCTACACTCAGAAAGTACCGCTGTGTAAGCAGAGTCAAGAGATGAGATAGGACATCTGTGAAGGAAACTAGCCATCCTCTGTAATTCTTTTTTCACACTGCAGCCGCTTGGTCTCCATCCCAACTGGAGCACTGCAGAAAACATGTAAGGCTAGGCACAGCTACGCTGCCTCCAGGAAACGTAATCCTTTGTGGAGATGTACCATAATCCAGCTGGAAGATGACTGTATCTCCCAGGGGGAGCCCATGAAGGCAGTGCATGGCTAAAAATGCTGTTCAGCAAAAACTTTCTCAGAAGAAGCCATCATGTGATAAAATACCTCCCTGGACAGAGAGCTACAACCAGAATCACTTAAAAGGGATTAAATAAAATGATGCTGAGACATCACAAATCTCTGCTTTGTCACAACAACTCCAGGACTGAAGATAGACCAAGAGGGCATGTGTTGGACACCCTCTGCACTAGGAAAGCACCTGGATTACTGTGTTCTGTAAATATTTGTTACCACACAGTGCAAGAGGACACTGCTGGGTGAGCATCACACATCAAAGAAACATTGTCTCCAGCACTTGGTGCTGCTCAAGCACAGGAGAGCACAGAGCATCAGTCTGCAGAGTTACCACAGGAAGGAGGACACAGATAACGGACTTTGATCAAGGCTAACAGAAGATGGAACCTGGGTAAGGGGTTCAGTCACTACCTCTACCCCTCTCAGAGTTCATGCACAAACTTTAGGCTTTAGAAGCAAAAGTAGGTGAACTCAAATATCCAGCACTGAATGTGGATCCAGAATCACAGACACCACAGAAACACAGACTGTAAAACAGTCGCACTGGGTACCCTCCCCTACAGACCCCTCCACAGGTGACAGCAATTTACAGAAACTCTCCAGCATCCTGAAACCCCTACCCCAGAAACAGTAGCCTCTTTGCATTTAATAAGCCCTAACAGACTTCGACTTCCATGATCCCACTCATTCACCCTCTGCCTCATTTGTCCATCACCTCCAGCCTGAAGGGAGGTTTGTGGCCTGTCCATCCACATTGACTTTTCCAACAACTATCTGTGGTTGCCACCACAGTTCTGATTCACTCCTCCTCCAGGTGAAGAATCCCAACCGTTTTTGTGGTTTCCCCATACAGGACTCATCATACCCAAACCTTTAAACACATCCTCCTTAGCAACTTCTCCTGTTCCGCTGTTCATATTTGGAGATAAGAGAGGACAGGAATGACACGGTGTTCAGGACAAACACACTACAGATGTACGTGGCAGCACAGTGATATCTGTGCAGTTCTTTTCTACTGTTAGGAACAGATTGCCTTGTAGAGAGATACTTGCTTAGGTCAATCATAACCCAAGATTCCACTTAGTAGCAGAAAGGAACAAGGAGACCCTCAATGCACAAGCAGTTAGGATTATGTCCTTGCCTCTCCCATACACCACTGCACATTTATCCACATTGATTTGCCTGGTATATTTTATTGTCCAGTCACAAAGCTCTTTCAGCTGGTTCCTACAAGAAAAGACCAACAGTCAGGTGGCTTTGCTTCAACATATCCATTAAAGATGTGGAAAAATGGGAGTAAGCGCTGAAGATAACAACGCCAGCATACTCCTGCTGCAGGACTCCACCACTGACCACCCTCACCAAGAGCTGCCCGCTTACTTTTAACCTCTGCTCCCCACCTTAATCACATTTCCATTCGAGAACCTTCGCGCTTGTCATTGCTAACAAGAAACCTTTGTAATTGCTTTCCTCCTACAAATCCTGCTCAAACCTTCTGTCTACATGCTCGCAGATTCCTTCAAAAAACCTCCAGTAGGTCTGGGAGGTAGCACTTCCCCTTCCCATGCCAACTCCTCCCAGACGCAGGCATCCTCTCAGGCACCCACCTGCTCTGTTCCGCAGAGCAGCTCTGCGCAGACTTCAGACCTGATTTTATTTCCCTCATTTACCATTTGCATTGTATTATACATTTTCCAGTCCTTGGGGAGAGTCCGTAAGCAGCGGTTACCTCTTTCACCTTTTCACCATGATTTGCTACCAACAGAGCTCCTAGACTCCCCAGGAGCTGCTCTTTAGCAAGAACCAAGGGATACCAGGCATCTATGCTTCAATTTGGGGGTAGGAAGAGCAGAATGCAAAGAAGTATCAGACCTCAAAAAGGAGATGGGAAAGGATGTGGCAGCTGGGACCCAAGGAGACAGCCCAGCATCATGCAACCTGTTTGCCCTGCACTCAACTCTGCTCCCTGCTTTCCCTGACCTGCCTCATCTCAAGACAGAGGTTTGCACCCTGCAAGGATGCAGGTATTTATGTGAACAGGCACACCTCCTTCCGTTACAGCAAAATGCCAGTACATGCCAGAGGCCACATGCAGCTGGGCATGACTGCTGACATGCAGCTCCTTCTCCCCTCCCTTCACCTTCTTCCCTTCACGCCTGATCTGTTCTCTGCCTCTCCAAAGAGGCCACAGCTTCCTTGGGAAGCAGAGGTCACGCTGACTGCAGGCTGGCTGTGACCAGCCAAAACAAGGTTGGCAGATCTAATCTGCATCCCACCCTTGATCCAGAGAGTCGAGATGGAGCGATAGCCACAGCCTGCACATAAACACATGCTTTGATACCGCCAGCTCAAACCAGATAGGGCCTGCAGAGGATACAACAGCTCCCTGTGCAGGCTCAGGACAAGGAGACCCTTAGCCCCTCCACATCCTTGTGCCAATGCTCTCCCCAGCCTGCAGGACTCCTCCACCCCAGCCACACCTTTTACACTGCTCTACCAAGAGCACCTAACCCCAACCACAGCCAGTGAAGGCTTGAGCAGACTGTTGGAGGCTCTTCTGAAAGATTTCAGGACAGTGAGCCAAGCTCATGGAACAGTTTAAGATCAAGCCACTTTAGCCCTTTGAATGCAGTTGACTACACATCTAAACTCGTGTGGTTAAGGAGCAGCCTTCTCCTGCCTGCCTGGGGCCTGAGGAAATTTATTCAAAGGCAGGACTTCTAAAAAGAGAGTCCCTCTGCTCAGCTCCAGTGCTCTGACTCTGCAGAGCCAGGTGACTGGATGTCAGGCCCCTCCAAGAACACTGTCTTTACTTTCCAGCCGATGCAACTAGTTCTTGATCACGTTCACTCTATCACCACTCCAGGGAAGAAAATAGAGAGAAAGCAAGTTTATTTTTAAATATACTCTAAGAGGAAAACACCCTCTCCCCTTTGATTGAAGAAAGCCAGCCTAAGTTGGAGCTCCTGACCCAAGACA